TAATTCATGAATTGGTTTAATTTATAGATTCATTTCAACCCATCTCTCTCTCAACATAGTTTTGTAAATATGTTGTCTTTGAAACTTACATTAGTTTAGAGTTTGGGATAAATAAAGTTTTTTTTGTGGATCTTTAGACAAAATTTTTATTACAACATATGATGACATAAATTATATGAAATGTGTTTTATATGAAAGTTCAGAAAATAATTTTTTATTGTATAATCAATTAATTAAAAAAATATCAAAAATATGTTTCCCGAAATATGTGACCAAATCTATATTGTAACAAAAAAAAGTGTATTTAATTTATATTTTGTGATTTGAATAATTCATTAATTGGTTTAACTTATAGATTCATTTCAACCCATCTTTCCTCGTCCTTAACTGCAAGAATATTCTTCAATATATTTATTAATACTCAACGATCACATCAAGTGTTGACTTGTCTTTAGCTTATACTACAGTACAGTATGATCTCAGACAACAAATTTACAAAATATTAATCACTTTTCATATAGGGCTTTTAATAAATTGATTTATTTAATAATTAATCGCTAATTAGAGAGAGAGAGAGAGAGAGAGAGAGACTATATTTGTGGCACAACCCCGGGTCCGATCGATACAACTATGCCATTGCTNAGAGAGAGAGAGAGAGAGAGAGAGAGAGAGAGAGAGGCTACAAATGGTAATAAAAACAACTCTGTAAGTTGTGTTAGCTAAATGTCGTATAGATATATAATTTTAATGTGTGTATTGACTTAAATCAATGATCGTTTTGATACAAATGAATTGATGCTAATCTTTATCATTGATCGCAAACTTCAATACTTTGCGTAAAAACTTTTAAAGACTAGTTTTGGGTTCAATGAACGCAATTGTATTATGCCTTTACGTCACACACAATAACGTACTCCATATGAAGTGGTCATTAAAACGTCGTTTTGATTGCAATCACAATCTATATTAAACCACAAATTTAATGGCTTAACACGTGTCCAGACAATGACTTTTGGTGTGATTATCTTATTAATAACTCACTGTATAATAAATATTGCTTCAAGTGTTATATAAAAACAATTTGCATGTCTTGTGGACGGATATGGGGTCTAAACATATGGACATAATTGGTGTGCAAATAGTGTGGACAGCATTGCTGTACGACAATAGAGAGCACACATTTGCCACATCACAACATCATATGCCGATGTAATGCCATAGACACGAGTGCTTATATAAAAAGGGCCCAAAACTGCGGGACAGACAGTGGCAAGAGTTGGCCCTTTTGTGACACAACACACACTTGTCTGTGATGTTAGGTTTGAAAGCATTTAATTGAGTGGTTGACTGGTTTAGTGGCAAAGCATTTGTGTTGAGAAAAACGATAACATATTTTATACATTCATTTATTGCCAAAAACAATATTCAAGATTACAATTAATTTAATATATATTTTATGTCTCTTTAAATATACAATTAAATAGTTTTTCCAGTTTTGGCGTCGATTATAGACTATATTTTTCGACAAATCAATAGTTTTTATTAAATTTAAAGTTTTATTTACAATAAAAGTGTTGACAAAAAAATCCAATATTTTTGATTACCAATTGTCTCGTCGATAATGTCTAACGCAACCAATTCTTCGCCGGTTATGCAAAGAGCTATCGTTAAACTGGTATTACATATGCGGTACACGTGTTGTCTCTCTTGTTAACTAATCCATTGTGCGATTCTTTAGGTCCTTTCGGGCGATTCGCTGATCATTAGAGGTCAGCCAAAAGGTGGTCCACCGCCTGAAAAGCAGATCAATTTGGGTATTGATATTACCATAAGTTTGTGGTTTAACTCTTGATTTAATGGTTTATGTATTGTTTGCCTCAAAGCCTATTTGATTGCACCAAAAGTTGGCCGTAAGTTACCGGACGGCAACTTCAGTAACGATGAGCCGCACGGCTGGGAATCGCGTGAATTTTTGCGTAAAAAACTGGTCGGAAAAGAGATTCAGTTTCGCACGGAATACAAGATATCGATGGGTATATCATGTCTCGCGTTGTGTTTGCAATTTATTGATTAATTGGTGTATGAATTATAGGTCAATCTCAACGAGAGTTTGGTTTCCTATTTCTCGCCGATGAGAACGTGAACGACACGGTTGTCATCGAAGGCATGGCGGAAGTGGTCCGACGGCAGCAAAACAAAGATAACGCCGAAGTGTTGCGTCTGATTGAGTTGGAAGAGTCGGCCAAAACGGCCCAAAAGGGCAAATGGGATGCGGTTTCGACCAAACGAGAAGTGCTCCATGAAGTGGAAGAGCCCCAGAAGCTGGTCAACAAGACTCTGCCGGCTATTGTTGAACACGTTCGCGACGGCAGTACTCTTCGGGTGGCCCTCGCATTAGAGGCCAATAAGAAGTACCAAATGATAACATTAATGTTGAGTGGAATCCGTTGTCCACAAACTGGTGAACCATTTGGAGAAGAGGGCCGTTATTTCACTGAATCACGACTTCTCCAGAAAGACGTTGAGATCCGTATCGAGCAGTTGAGTGGCGGCGGAAACCAAAACTCTTTCGTCGGTTCGGTTACTATTGGCGACAAAAATATTGCCGAATATTTAATTAAAGAGGGATTCGCTAAGTGTCTGGACTGGACTATCGGTCTGACACAAGACCCCAAGAAATTGCGTTCATTGGAAAGGGAGGCGAAGACCAAGAAGTTGAGGATCTGGAAGGACTTCAAAGAGCCGGTGAAAGCCGTCGGATCTAATGAGAGCTTTGAGGCCAAGGTTCTGGAAATAGTGAACGGCGACGCTCTGGTCGTCCAGAATTTGGGCAATAATGAAGTGAAAAAGATTTTCATCGCTTCCATACGTCCGCCGAGAGCTGAGGGCACCAGAAATGATGACGAGAAGGAGAGGAGACAGTTTCGACCACTTTATGATATTCCGCATATGTTTGAAGCGCGAGAATTCTTGAGGAAGCGGTTAATCGGGAAAAAAGTGAACGTAAAAGTGGATTACATTCAGCCCAAGACCGATAACTTCCAGGAGAAGACCTGTTGTACTGTTATTGTGGACAACAATATAAATATCGGCGAAGCGCTCATCAGTAAAGGATTGGCTACTGTTGTCAAGTATAGACCGGACGACGAGCAGAGAGCCAGCGGTTATGACAGCTTTTTGGCCGCGGAATCAAAGGCACAAAAGAGCTCTAAAGGGATCTATTCGGACAATAAAGACTCGGGTATTGTGCGAATCGTGGACTTGAGTTCGGATCAGTCGAAAGCCAAACAATATCTTCCATTTCTGCTCCGCAATCAAAGTGCCAGAAAGGATGCGGTCGTGGAGTTTGTGTTTCCCTCGTCTTCCAAAATCAAACTTTTCGCTCCGAAAGACAACTGTTTATTGAATCTAATTCTGGTTGGGATTCAGTCGCCGAAGAATAACGACGCCATCAGTTCAGAAGCGCATACTTTTGTCAAACAACGAATCCACCAAAAAGACGTACAAATGAGTATTGAGGCGAGCGATAAAGTGGGCAATTTTATCGGTTGGCTGTACTTCGAGCACAACAACACTCAATGCAATTTAGCTGTGGAGCTGATCCGCAATGGGTTCGCGTCGGTCCGCGACATCAATAAGTCGAATGAGTTGAATGCGGCCGAAGCTGAGGCCAAACGACAGAAGATTGGCATTTGGAAGGATTGGAAGGAAGAGGAACACAACGAGGAGTTAGAGGAGGCCATCACTGAAGAGGTGAACGAAAAGGAAACCTCGGATTTGAGCCAAAGGAAGAAAGTGGTCGTAACCAACATATCCAGCGGTTTATCTTCATTTCACGCCCAATATGTGGACGACGGACCAAAACTCGAGGAATTGCTGACTGAACTGAGAGAAGAACTTACAACAAACCCTCCACTGCCCGGCGCTTATAAGCCCACAAAAGGTGATCTCGTTGTGGCCAAGTTCTCGGCCGATCAGCTCTGGTATAGGGCTAAGGTCGAGAAGATTGTGTCCAATAACGAGATTCAAATCCTTTACGTGGATTACGGCAATCGGGAAACAGTCAACTCGCGAAGTATAGCTGCGATGCCGTCGTCTAAGTATTCCAGTAATAGTCCGTTCGCTAAGGAGTACGCCCTGGCGTTCGTACGGCTCGACACCGATCCAGACTTTGTCGACGATGTGAGGAACGCCTTCTCCGACGAGACGGCCGATCGGGTGCTCCTCTTGAAGAGCGAATACAAGGACGCGTCCGGACTCGAGGCCGTCACTCTCGTCGACGAAGAGTCCAAAAAGGATATTGTCCTTCAGTTGGTTACCGACGGACTCTTCTTCGTTGACGTTAAGTCCAGACGAGAGAGAAGACTACAGAAAACTTTCAACGAATACAAAGGAGCGCAAGAAAGCGCTAAAAAGAAAAGGGTATTCACTTTCTCGCCATTAAAACATTATTTGTTTTGATTTCTAATTGAATTGAATATTATTTTAGTTGAATATCTGGCAATACGGAGACATCACTGAAGATGATGCCAAAGAGTTTGGATTCTCCAAATGATACTCTTGACTCTTCACATTCAATGAAATCGTTTATGAAATCTATTCTTTAATTACAATAAAAATGAGATATAATTCTATATATAATTATTATTTGAAATTATTTCTTAAATAAATCATTTATGGAAACGAATTGAATTCAAACATTTTTATAAGAAATG